CTATATTTCATATATTTCCATTATATTATACCAAGATTTTTAAAGATATATAAGATATTATAGGAGCTATGGTATAAGTTTTAGTTATATAATTATTACAGTGTTGATGGTATCTGCTTTCCTGGACCTTAGTAAGTCAAAGAGGAAATTATAGTCACTTGTTTTTTATATGACTTCATTATTTCAATTATTACCTATTACAGTGCTTTGGCCTCAAGTTTCTGCATTACCATCCTTCCTTTCCTGTGTTCATGTTCCTACCCTCAGCACATCTTGCTGAGACCATTGTGAAATACAAATGGCCTTCATTTGTACAAGTGCTTCAACATTCTCAGAACCCAACTCAAGAACTTCCTGTCACGAGTGTTTATTTATTTATTCATTGACTTATTTTTGAGAGAGTGTATCGTGTATCTCAAGCTGGCCTGGACCTCTCTAAATAGGTAAGGATGGCATTGAACCCCTGATTTTCCTGCGTCCACCTCTTAAGTTTTGGCAATATAGACTGGTGCCACCATGCCCAGTAATTGTAATGCTGGGGATCAAACCTGCAGCTTCATAAATGACAAGCAAGCACTCTACCACCTGAGTTACATCCCCAGGCTCCACTAGTCCTTCTCATCCTTCTCTCTCATCCTAGGACATTTATGCACAACTCCACGCTTTCCGATAACAGGCACTGCATTTTGCTTCAGAAGTTAATTTTGTTAGAAATGCTCACACTTGTACCTTTCCACAAATTTAAGCAACAAACTATGAAACAATGGAACAACTCAACTGAGTCAATGTGCTTCTCCATTCCAGTTATTCATCTAGCTATTCAGATTTTTTAAAAGCGTTTTAGAATGCTATATCTCTTTTCTGACCTTTCTAAGTTCATCATACCTAGAATCAATTTCATAGTATTAACTTCTCTAAGGAATATGCTTTCCAAGTCAATGTTGAACATTGGATTTTTTGGTCTGGGGCTGGAGAGATGGCTCACTGAGGTTAAGAGTAAATATTGCTCTTACAGAATTTGTGAGTTCAGTTCCCAGTAGCCACATTGAGTGGCTTATAATCACCTGTAACTCTACCTCAGGGACATCTGACACATCTGGCCTCTGGGCACCTGCACTCATGTACACACACACAATAAAAATAAAATAAACTCTCAAAAAAGAAAAGAATTTCAGGTCTATAGCTGGACCAGCTTTGAACTTGAAATCCTGTCACAGCCTCTAAGTAGCTAGAATTACAAGCCTACATTGCCAGGTTTATACCAACCACTAGTCTTTAGTGCTTGGGAAACATCAATTGAGTAATTCTTATATGAATGATAATATGCAAAGCTTTTCTTATGAAAACAATATGAATATTATATTTTCAAATTACTTTATGCAGTATTTTAAAACTCTTATTTTCTTATACTATATTCTTTCATTACTGTGAGGCAAAGATCACCAAATGAGGGCCCCAAGACCAAATTCTGTCCATTATCTATTTTGCTGACTCAAGAGTTAAATGTATTTTAGATTTTATACATATGAATGGAATGAAATAGAAAGAAGAAAATACATAACATGCAAACAGTGTATAGGATTCAGGTTTATGCCAATAAAGCTTGGTTGGAACAGAGCTATACTCATGAAGTATGGCTGTATCCCTACAACACTGACAGGAACCACAAGGACTGCAAAGTCTGAGAAACTTATCTGGCTAGAATATTTGGTCTCTGATCCCATATAATCCTACTTAATTATCACATTAGTTCTCTTTTACTGTGACGGCATCTGTATTTTCAGATTTTTTAACTGTGGTGAGCCACAGCTCAAATATGGGTTTCTTGAGCTATTTCCTTTATGTTAGAGGGTCATCCATTCTGATGACCTACCATAATCAGATTACATCAGAGGATAATATATATCCTTTACCTTCATTGAGCCTTCTTCCATTCATCTCCTTCCTCAAAAAAATGGAGAGTAATTTCAAATATTTAATGCAAAATAAAAATACTATTACATAAAGGAATTACTAAAAGGGATTTAAAATTAAACAAAACCAAAACAAAGAGAAAGTAAAATATTTGTCTGCATGGACACAGATAAGCAGATAGACAGGTAAAGTTTGTTTTGTATTAGGGGAACTCAAAGGAAAAAAATGCAGTTCAATAAAATACTATGTTTAAAGTAAGGGAATAAAGTTGAGAAAGAATTCTAAACCTCTATGTAAAACATAAGAATGGTTTGTACTTAAGCAACATTAAGAATTAGGAAAGAAAGGAAAGTATATACTATAATATATAAAGAAGTTACATTGGGTTAATACATTTCCCTCTGGTTTTTTGTACGACCTAATTCATTCTCTCTCTCTCCTCTCTCTCTCTGTCTCTCTCTGTCTCTGTCTCTGTCTCTCTCTGTCTCTCTCTCTTTCTCTCGCTCTCCCTGCCTAACCTCCCTCCCCAGTTAAAATACTCCCATTTTCCCCTTGATATCACCTGTCTCCTATCATCCCACTATTTAAGCTCCTTCTTCCCCTTTACCCCCGTGGTTCCTTGTATGTCCTTCTCTCCTTCCTTCCCACTCAAAAATTTGAAAAATACACAGAGATGATATGATCATGAATGCGTATGTATACCTGAAGAAACATGGTTCCAGACAGGAGAAATATCCCTTTGAGTTGTTGGCCAAGATAGTCTGAGATACTTGCAGGCTATTGCCACAGACCTTGATTACCTCCAAGAAGTGCAAGACCCTATTCCCGAAGATATGACATACTTTGAACACAGGACGTGGATCAATGGCAGTGGACCTGATCTGGAAGCCCCCTCCCAGAAGTCTGGCTCTCATACTTCTAGAGGCTACTATACAAGCTGCTAAGGGAGAAAATGAATCAATGGTCCAACCCTAATTTCAAAGCCTAGTAACGACAACTATGACTGGCACAGCAAACTACAGCGATGCAGTCGTGAAACTTTTATCTTGGGGGTAATAAGTAGATATCTAATTGGACTTAAAGGATCTTAATGGAAGAGAA